CTCGCAGGCGAATATTCGGAAACCCCCCAATTTTTATAAATGTATAATCACAGTGCAACGCCATTAGTAGCAGTTACGTATTAAAATACTGTTTGGTAGCGCGTATTTAAATGTAAAATTATAGCTAGTTCCACCGACTGATATAATTACAACAAAGGGGTTTACAACTGGAGCACGAACATGTAAATTCCCATCTATTTAACGCAAATGGTTGTCTTTTTTTATTCAAATTTCTTGGCATTTTTCAATTTCCACTCGACAAGCCATACGAAATGGGGTTTTTATCAAGAGATGCGCCAATTGAACCTACGGCGGTTTAATGTTATTGACTTGTGGCAACGGGAATATTTTGGGTTGATTTGTGCCTGATGGAAACTGCGAGGATGGTGATATTAAAATTGACAAGCAATTGATGTTGCGGTTTAATTGTGCACACTGCGACAATAATTCCTAATTCGTGTTAAACGTTGCAATACAACAAAACGATTAATTGGAATTGTGAAAAAAGGCAAATATGCATATTTTGTCTTTCAGTAGAGTATACATTTGTAAACAAGTTCCTCCACCTTTTATTGGAACACTGTGTGGGCGAAGAATTGCTCTACTATGCAAAAGCTTCCTTATTTTGATGTAAAAATTGCCACTATAATCCTGTTGGATTGAAAATAGACAATTTTCATACAACAAACATTGTCATGCTCAACAGAGGCAATGATTACTACCAAAAATGTGATTATAATTTTTTCAGGGCATGGGCAGATGCTGGATCTGGTACGACGAAAATTTCGATATTGACGTAAATTTTATTAATTTGAGAAATTCAGCAGCCTTATCTACTTCCAAAAGTCTAAAGAAATAATTAACAAATTTTTAATTAACACCTGATGCAATTCTGGGTCCGAAATAGAAACAAGGTAGCTCTTATCTCCTGGATCGTAATTTGGGCTCGATTAAACATAAAACTAACCATTTACAGACGAAACACAATTTATTCAATCAAATAAGTGCGATCGATTAAACAAAGTTATAATTACCTTAAGCTACCCTTATCATTCGGCCCTAAGTGCACTTTTCAACAAACATAGCACAATTGCCAAGCTGAATGATACTTCGGAACCTCTCTTCTTTGACTTCACTTGAAACTCGATTTAGACAACACTGGCTTCGTTCTAATTAGGATTATAGAATGAAAAACTCCCTTTAACGAGTATTGGGAAACTTTTTCGTAGACGTACAACACTTGAGCTTAACTCAACTAAGACCTTCTTCTACAACTGACAGAACTGACTATTTTCTATGCCGTCAAAACTGACTGTTTTGCAACAAATAATGCCTAACGTCATCGTCTTCTATTTCAAACAATTTCACTGTCTCACTAGTCACTTCCATTCCTCTTTCCTTAATGAAATACTGCGTGTTCGAAAGAATTAACATCTGCTTACTTCAGAGATGACACGTGCTTATCTTGAAACTAATTAGTTTACGCAGCGATAAGGATCCTGATCAATAAACAATAAACTTAATCTTTTAACACGTAAATCAAACTTTGCAATAAAATAAAAAAATTAAAGAAAGCGATTATCTAAACATTAACAACATTAAATAATTCCGATACAAAATAAAATTGACCAAACAAAACGTCCGTACACAACAATACATTCATTTCTATATTTCTAGATATCCAAGTTTCTGGCGCTTTTAACATTTTTATGACAGTGCTCACCGTTTTGAGTCACTTGAAACATCCGATCCAGTATTTTACCACAGTAGTATGGCGGGACACAGCCCCTTCTCGTTACCTGGTGGCGGATACCAATGCCCCACCCCCTCCCCGGTTACATAACTACTGAGTGACCTTGTTTGTCGTGCAAGGTAGTGCCCGTGGTGAGGGGGCTTCTTCGGTGACGTAATTAATGAGCCATCTTTTGTTGGTTTTTGGACGTATGCGGTTGTGAATAAGGATGGTGTGGTTCTTATCTTGGTTAAAGTAAAATGGGTGCTCATGCTCATCTTAGCAAATGTGCGGTTTGTATACCTATAAGGTAATGCGGATCAATGTCGATGATTGTTGATTGGCGGTTTTAAATTTAATTCTCGTTTTGATTGTAGTTTTGCTTTTAATTGTCTGCGAATTAGTTTATGTCGCGCTTTGATTGGCAGCTTTAATTAAATTTATTTATTTATTAAATTTTGAAAAGTCTAAATGGAAGTGACCATTTTAGAATACCTAACCAAAAACATTTAATGCATGCATTTTGGACATTTGTTTGCGTCTGAACAATTTGTGTGCATTAATATGTAGTTTACGATGTATTGCGTCACTATACAGGGTGTCTTAAATTGAGTAGGATAACACGGCTATCTGTGTTATTATTATACTTACAGATTCGGTTAAATTGAAACAGTTGCGTAGTTTTTAATGCTGATGGATATTCCGATGCGATATTTTGAAAAAAATAAATCGTTTCTTAGATAGTCGGAAAAAAGTGAAAATCGGCATTTTTTAAAAGTTCAGATATTATAGTAACAAAGAGAGCTATCGGAAAAAGTTTCAAATACAAGTTGGAAGATTCGATGGAATAAATTCAATGGACGCAGAAATTATTTTTTTTTCAAAATGGCGGTTTTCGAGATACTGATATCAACTTCCTTATTTTAAATGAAGCACCCCACTCGCTCTCAAGGCTGCTCGTGTCGCAAACGTCACCCTTCTGAATAATAAGCATCGTAACATGCTTGGAATACTATCAAAGGAGATATGCGAGAAGTTTAAATCTTCGATCTTCAACGATCTTCAACCTTCCATCTGCAGCCTTGTCTTCAATCTTCAGTCTTCAATATTCAATCTTCAATTTGCAGTACTTTCAATAGCAAGAGAAATTTCGTTGACGTCATTTATTGGAGAGGCATGTCGCCGGTTGATCGAACGCCGGCAAGGCACAGCGTGGGCTGGTCAGTCACCGGTTTGACCGAGCGCCGGTACGATCGGCGCCGGTTTGGTTATTGCCGGTTATGGATGGAATCGGCGGTTAGTAGTGTACCGCAGATTCAGATTCTCCAAAAAAAAAAGGTGATCACGGGAACCATTCATTTTCGACCGTTTTAGCCAGAGAAAACAAAAACAAAATTTGACATTTATTTGAGTTTTTCTGTGATATTCATTTTAGATATTTTCAAAGAATTTAAAATTTTCAAAAGCGTTGTTTTAAGTCCCCAAAAAGCGCAACTTTGTGCCCCTATTTAACCTACACGGTATCTCTCACCGTTACGCCTCTTCCCTAATTTTTCTGTGTAATGTCTTTTGGTATTATACATTCTGCCGCCTCGACAAACATGATGTTCAATCCTTTGAACATTATGCCGGCCGCGACGAACGTCCCCCCTGGGATGTATAATTCTTCCATTTGCTGAAATTTTCTCCTGACACCCTCCAATGCCTCCTTTACTGCCGGTCAATTATTTGGTGTTGGTTGTTAGTGACCATATCGTTTGGTATTCATGATATTCTGTTTGGTGTTCCGTTACCTCCCGAAGTCTTTTCCTCGCGTCTTCCCACAAGGTCTTTCACTCGCCTCCTGTCTTCTCGCGCCTCCGAACTTATCTTCTTCAGCACCTTTTCCATTGCCTTTCCTATTTCTCCTACGATGGTTTCCAATGTGCTGGCTTCCTCCATTTCCCAGTGTTTCGATGGCTCCCCCTCTTCCTCTATTGTTGAGACCATCTCAATGACTGGTGTATGTACCTTTTTTCTACTCTCTTTTGTCCTTTCACAATCTAATCTTAGTCTTTTACCCGTTGCATTCTGCGTTGTTGTTCCTATAAGGGTCGTAAGTCCTTGTGGGTTACAGGGGTTGTTTCTCCTCTCCGGATCTCCTTTGAACTTCTGTGTGTTATGAGGGGCGTGAAACACACGTCGTCTTTTTCTGTGGCTTTTTGCAGCCTTAATTCATTTTAAATTTTCTTACACGATTTTTTTGATGGTGGTTATTTTGCTGCTGTAAGGGGCGTAAATCCTGACAGCCTTCGGGTTGTTTCTTCCGTCGCTACTTTTTTCCTTCTGTCGCTGGTTGTTGTTCTGGAGCTTCTTTAATCTCCGGTAGCCGAGGGCCGAGCTCGAAGGACCATGAACAGAAACCTCTCTCGTAAACTGGGGAGAGTTTCGGTTTGTATGCCGCTGACGCTCACTTGTCCTGAAGAATGTATGGTTTGGAATCCCTCGTGAAACGCCAACGACGTGATTAAAAGATCAGCTGTGATTTTATAATGTATATTTTTAAATTCTTCATTAATGCTTGAGAGAAGGGTAGTAAGAATCTACGTGATCACGGCAGGCCCGTAGCTAGGGGGTGGCCAGGTGGGGGCTTGAGCCCCACCTAGGATGTGGTCTTGCCTCCACTGGAAATTACGGCTGATTGTTCCTTTATAAAAATTACAGGGGAAGCCGTTATCAAAAATTTCTTAAGCCCCACCTAGAAAATTACCAGTCACCCCTGCTGCTTCACTCTGGCTACGGGCCTGTCATGGAATCAACATTTTTGACTAAACGTAAGGGAGAGAATCAAGTCTCAGATAAAGAGAAAGACTCATTAAGAGTATTACTAAACACATAAAATCTTTTCCAAAGTCAGCAATTAAGTAATTTTGCCAAAACAAAAATTCAAGTTCGATAGTTTACATATTTCAAAGAAGGGATGGTCTAACCCTTTATGTGCAAAAACCTATTACATTTGACTCACAACCGTGCATCTTGCACTAGTCAATGACATTTGGGATTATTTGTTGACCAACATCACACCCGCAAAATACCTTCAACGGTTTGGCAAGAATGTAACAACGTGACGGCTAAATATTTTTTTCTTTCTCTCATACTCGATTAGCATCATTGATATTGCACTTGATAAATAGATTTTCGTCGGGTAAGATTGTTTTAACATAATATGCGCGCAATTTAACGTTTTGCAATGGAACCAGAGGGGCTCTCGTAACCAATTTAACTCTTTTTATAATGAATAGCTATTAATGATAAATTACATAAAAGGGGTTGACTTAAATGATACACAGAACTCACTGAAGGCCGAAATTAACAGTTCTTGTACAGTAAACTGAACTGCCTAAGTAGGCAAGCGTTGAGGTATAATCTACCTACCCACATTAATTACCGCCGCACCTCTTCCATATCTCATAAAGAAAATCCTTTTTTATTTTACCATGTTGGACTGTGTTCTACAAACTAAACTAGACACTTTTCTAAATTGTTATAATATTTCCATGTACTCACCGTATTCACCGATGGTTTTAGTGTTTCCTGAAAACATTCCAGACACGTTAATGCGCTTCTGTAATGGACTTTGAAAGTTAACAAACAATATTAGAAACAGTTTTAGGTGCGTACTCAATTTCCGTTAGAAAATTATCATTTTTAGCACCTGTCATTTTACATTGTCTGTCTCTTCCGCTGGAAAATGTAAACTAATAAATAAACGTCAAAATTGTAGGTGTACAGGAATTTTAACAAATAGGTACCTACACTGTCACCACCCTCCTCCCATTGTGTGCTAAATGATCATTTTATTTCTATATAAATTCCGAACATTTCTAACAATGGAAGTAACAAAAATGTGTAACGTATTATACGGTAGCATCACGAAGAAGGAAAATAAAGCAATTACGAAATACCACACTCTGCATGAAACGCGCATTATGTCAGTGGTCTAATGGGACCGCTTATAATTCCAGTTTCCGTAATATTATTTTAATAGTCCTTCGGTGAGAAGATCTCAACTCGATACGCTTACGGTTTATATAATGGTGTTATAAATTATTTGTATATATTTCCATTTTTTTCAATAGCTTGTTGTTTTGCTTTGTTTGATAATTTAGTTCCATTATTAACTAGGCCGCGCGCTCGCCAATATAAGAGCCATTCATTTATAACCAGGGCGCTATTTGTACAGTTTTTTGGATGCAGGGACCAGCATTGTGTGTGGTTTGTTTTTAAAGCTGCTCTTAAATAAGTATATTGCTATTATAAATTCGCATTCGATCAATATGGAATGGGCATAAAGCGGGTCATATTATATACAGCATGAAGCATTACTATTTAAAAATAAAATTGGATTCTTAAATACACCATGGTTGTTGGAATCAGTTATCTCAAGTTAATATCATACAATATTTTGATACAAGGTACAACCGACTAATACTGAATTTAATTATTAATTATTTAAAATTTATTCGCTACAATTTTACGTGGAGTTGCTCTGGTCTTCAAATAAACACACAATACAGAATGACCCGTCCTTAATTCCTTATCTTCGGTATTATTCCAACCTAAAGAACGTTGATCTGACGCTGTTTACACACATCAAAATGCTATCTAAAAGCCTTAATATTCTTGAGATAAGAATTAATTAATACCTAAAGAAATCTAAGGAATCTATATAAATGCCGAGAAAAAAGCGAAGAAAACGGCGAAGTTTGAAGAATCATTAAAATCCGAATGTTCTGAAACTAAACTGAAAACTGAAAAATGGGAATATAGGTGAAGAATTGGAAAGAATCTTACATATCCAAACAAATGAACATTTTTAAAGAATCTCTAAATTACATACGAAATTTGAAAAGTTCACAGAAACGCAAAGAGCTGCGAATAATCTGACAAATAGTTTGAAGAAACGAAAGAGTCTGACATATCAAACGAATCTGAAAAATCGAATTGAAGAATTGAATTCAATTCAATTGAATCTGCGAAAGCTCAAAAATAATCGGTCAATGCCCTTTTGACATTTTCCAACACTACAACCCGATCAAACTATCAATCGATTTTGATGAAATTTGAGATATTATGCATTGGAATTAAGGTAATAGGCCACTCATTTTAAACACTAAACATTGCAAAAAATACTGTAAACTTGCATTTTTAATATGTTGTTAGGGACAACCTAGACAGTGTAAATCTAGATTTGCAACCCTCAGCAACGTGAGCCAGCCGATATACAGGGTGAAATTCGAGAAAGTTTGGAACTTTTTTCAGTTTTTCGCAAAAAAAGAAGTAGGGGATTGATCTGAAGAGGAAATGTGTTATTACCACTTCTGAAGCAGAGAAAATTACCTAAAAGACGAGTTGTGTGCGAGATCTGTAACCCAATTAGTTCCAGAGATACAGCTCTGTGAATATTGACAAGTTTTCCAAAAAAAAGTGAAAATAAAATAATTACCTACATTAAAAAATTTTTTTTCTTCATTATAACAACAAAATCGAGATAATGGTACACTGTAACAATCATTTTCGGGCGATATTTGGAGGAGGCGAAGAGTCATCGCTTGTACTTGAACTTCCTTGTTGGCTATCTTTAGGTTGAAGAGAGGAGGCTCTATCAAGGTTGTCTAGAGGTGCTCCACATCTGCGTAGATCTCCTCTTCATCCAACTCCTCGGCTCTTAGTATGTTCGTGCAATTGATGCCTTCGCAGTGTTTGCACATTGAAGAACATCTCATACTCTCGATGCAAGCATTCAGACCGCTGTTTCATATTTCATATTTATTTATTTTTTCCATTTTGATTACAGTGTACAGGTAATATTGGAAACGTCATTTTAAATTTTACGCCACTTGAAAAATACAAACAAACTACAGAATTGACTACAACCAGACTAACAGTAACACGCATTTACATATAACACACAGAAAGACATAATTAGGTTTTGCAGAGGTATTCGCTGATACTATAGAACGGATTATCAAGAAAGAACGTTTTAACCTTAGACATAAAGGAGGCCTGATTGCATTTCAGGAGATCAATAGGGAGGCTGTTGAAAAGTTTAATGCACATGTATTTTGGAGAGTTCTCGAACAGGGTGGTATTATGTCGAGGGACAGTGATCTTAGAACCGAAACGAGTCTTCCTGTCACAGCTGCGGATCTCTTCGTTCGTTGTAAACTGATATGAGTTGTCGAAAACGAATTGCACACAGTTATAGATATATAGGGAGTACACAGTCATTATTTGCAAGCGTTTAAAAAGAGGTTTGCAGTGGTCACGCATGCCAGAGTTACACATATGACGTACGATCCGTTTTTGCAGTAACAGCAGTCTGACAGTTGCATTGGAGTTGCCCCATATAATAATGGCGTAGTGTAGTTGACTTTGGACCTGGGCATAGTAGTACTTCAGTAGAGCAGACTGCCCTACCACGGGCCTCAAACATATAATTGCGTAGCATGCACTTCTTAGTTTCGAGCAGATTTGATCGATGTGAGAGCTCCAATTTAGATTGTCACTTACAGTTACTCCAAGGAAGCGTTCACCACTGGTAATGCGCAACAGTTTCCCATTCATGATAATGTTAGGACGTCCCGCTGCTGAGAGGTCATTTTATAAATAGTCTTCTGTACATACGTATGTACGAGGGTTGTCCAGAAAGTAACGGACGTTTTGAAATAAAAAATTTTAAACTTGGTAAAGCAAATCTCTTATTATATATATTTGGGAGCTACACACTTGGGCTATTTATCAACACAAGCGCCATTCAAATTGAGGCAATTATCATAGCGTGGCACAAGTGTTTTGATTCCAAATTTTATAAATCCGCCGCCTGAGATTTTAACCTGCACTGGGTAACGCTGAAGTTCGGCGTTCCTATCGAACCGCTGCGTTGCGAGCTAGGTCTTCATCGCTGGGAAGAGGTGGAAGTACTGTTGTTCAACGACAACGCCCGCCCGTACACAGTCAACCGTACTGGACAGCTCTTGGATGATTTTGGATGGGAGAAAGGATCACCCTCCATACAGCTCGGCTCTAGCGCCAAGCGACTTCCACCTCTTCCCAGCGATGAAGACCTCGCTCGCAACACAGCACATGGACAGTGATGCCGAACTTCAAGCCGGCGATAACCAGTGGTTAAAGTCTCAGGCGGCGTATGTATACAAAGTTGAAATCAAAACACTTGTACCACGCTACGATAAGTGCCTCAATACGAATGGCGATTATGTTGAAAAATAGCATAAGAGTGTAGCTTCCAAGTGTTATATAATAAAAGTTGTTTCTTACACTTCCTTAATTTCTTATTTCAAAACGTCTGCTACTTTCTGGATAGCCCTCGTAGTATGTATGAGTATTTATGGCAATATTTATGGTGTAAAATATGACAAAAGTAACAATTTCCACTTTTTAAAAAAACTTGTCAATATTCACAGACCTGTATGTCTGGAACTAATTGGGTTACAGATCCCGCACATAGCTCGCCTTTTAGGTAATTCTCTCTACTTAAAAGAGATAATAACACATTTCCTTTTTAGAACACTCATTTACTTATTTTTTGCGACAAACTGAAAAAAGTCCAAAATTTTCTCGATTTTCACCCTGGACATCGGATGGCTCATGTTTCTGAGGGTTGCAAATCTAGATTTATACCGTCTAGGTAGTCCCTAACAACATATTAAAAATGCAACTTTACAGTATTTTTTGCAATGTTTGGCAAAAAAATTGTCTAATATGACTGGCCTATTAAATAGAGATTCAGAGTTCCAGTATTTAATCGGACGGGAAATTCCTTTCACCAAGGCCACGACTTTTTCACAGGGGATATCACAGGACACCACTTTGCACCACAAAACAAGGTCACTTCTTAGATACGTAACTGGGAAACTCCGTTCTTCACGTCGTTTTACCTTTCATTTCTACTTCCGAATCCTGACCAATTTCAAGAATTCATAAATTTGAAGAATATGAATTTTAAGAGTGAGAAAGAGCTGAATGGAGAACGATTTTAAAGAATCCTACAAATCCAAAGCATGTGAAAAGTCTAAAGAAACGAGCGAATTTGAAGACTGGGAAGAAAATTAGAAAAGTTTCACATATCTCATAAATGCGAATCGTTCGAACTTCCTCAAGATCTCCGGGAGTACATCTTGTGTCACCAAAAAGGTGGTTCTTGAGCCTAAACGGCATCACTCGAAACTGGTAGCGAGAAATCGTCGGGCGTCGAGATTCCGATGCGAGAGCGACTTGCCAGTATCCCGATTTGAGAGTGTGGAGAACACCTTCGCCTAGCTCCTGAAGTGCCTCGTGGATAAGTGGTAGGGTCAAGCTTTTGTCCCAGGTAACCTTTCAACCTGCGGTAGTCCACGCAAGAACGCGCGTTGCCGTCCTTCTTTTGGACAATGACGATGGAAGGCGAGTAGCTGGAGCTGATGGTCCCCTTCGAGAAGGTGGCTCGAAATGTGTGGGGCACTTCTTGGAATCGGGGCATCAGTGGTGTGGGAAATCCATGGTGTACTTCTCCGAGCTGCGGCGGGATGATCTAGATTGTGTAGGCGGAATGGGCCTAGTGGGCGGTTTGCTACGTTCGCTACGGTCGCTGGCGGTCTAGTGTCTTCTTCGATAACCTCCAAGAACTGCATCTCGATCACATTCTGGGGAGCTCTTAGATGAAGGTCGCATGCTGGGTACAGTAGGTTCGCGAGAAGTGGTATGTGCTCGTTGATGTTAACGCGCAGCCGTGCAGCGAGCTGGTCCTTCCGCTGGATTCGTTTTTCTGATCGCGGTTGGAGAACTCCCCGTTCAACCTGCAGGAATTAAGTTTTCAAAGTCTTAACTTTATAGGGACAAAGAGAAGCACAAAACAGGTGGGAGATTGAGAA